CGGTTTTTTCTTAATCTATGGATTATATAGGGTAAGTAAATTGATTAAATCTAATAATTAATAAAATAAAATTGACCTCTCGTCACTAATTCGCATTTTACTTCACACGGTATTCTCCATCCTATTCTCACGTCCGCGTGAAGCTCTTTTCCTCCTATTACCGCCTCCTATGCCCTGGGAGCTTCTAACGAGACTCGAAAGCCCCGTTATTCGAATTTCTTCGAAATAAGTTAGGTTTTCGCATCGCGATGACGCGAATAAATTCCTTTAAGGAATTTAATTGTCATTAAGTGACAATTGGTGTTCTTTGACACCATCTTTGATTTAATCAAAGAATTTTTTAACATTACGGATTTTATTATTCCGTAATGCGGATTTTTGACTCTTGAGCTTATATATTGAGCTCGTAATGAGTCCCGTTCAGCGCCACAGAAGAGTATTATGTCTTTTTTGACAAAATCTATTAATTAAAAAATGATAAAAAATCAAGTTGGTCTATTTCTTCTTAAATAATGTTTTTCTAATAAATAATTAAATTTTTTCAGTTTTTTATAGTTTTTATATAAGTTTCATGTGGACGCTGTTTATCGTGAAAAAAACAAAAGTTTTTATTAATTGAGCTCTCATTTGCTCTAATATGCTCTTATTGAGCTGAGACTATTTTTAATGTATACTGGTGCTTTGAAGCTATCCAAATAAATTGAAATAATGGTGCTTTGAAGCTATCCAAATAAATTGAAATTAATTTGAAATAAATTATATTTTACGAGATCGAGCTAATCTCTTAGTTACGCAGAGCTCTTATTACTGCTCTTCTTCGCGTATTATCTTTATCGGCATTTTACGCCCCTGAAAATTATGTTATCGCTCTTAAATAAATTTGTGGTCATATTGTTTAAATGTTTTTATTAAAATATAATGTTTGGATTCTTATAACTATCTTACTTTCTATTTGTTGTATTATAATATTATTAATAATAAAATGTCTTTGTTTGAGTTCTAAACTCGGGGTGATTTGATATCGTTTGGAGGGCTCTTCGTGATGTCCTCTCCCTTGGGTAGGTCCTTTGGTTGAACCTCCTTAGTTTGATGGCAGCTTGGCCTTTCCGCTATTTGTATCCTCTCGGCTTGGCTCTGTAGATTATTAATTATATTGTCTTAATGTTTGAAAAATTGAGGCGATTAGCATCGACCTCAGCGAATCTGAGTGGCGGTTGCAAGGTCCCAAGAGGGTAGGATACGTTACTCTTTTCCGTTCGGGGCGGCGTAGCCGCCCCGAACCCAAGCATTACTGTCTACACACTCCACTGTCCACATGGGTTATGATTTATTTGGAGTAGAATAGCGCTACATTCGGTATGACAGATTTCCTAACCTCCATAGTTAACAACTTTAACGCTAAATATCTCGGTTCACGGGGCAGAACGGCGTTTTTTTCTGCCAGATTCTTTCGTTTCATACAAAAACGCGTCGAATGAGCCTAATTTTATCGAAATCGGTGGTGGGGGAGGTATTCTGTATAATTACTGAATCTTTATACTCAACTGACTCATTTTTACGACAGTCCACGGCGGATACGTTACTTTACGCGACACGGAATTTGCGAACTCTCTTGTGTTGTGCTCGCGTCAATCGCCTTTTCAACGAACGAATTAATTTTCTCCTGGGCCCATAACCTGTGAGCGAGATGTGGAAATAATAGGTTTGTTCTTCTTGTTTACATTTCGTACACTTTCGTGTAAAGTGTACACTTTAGCGTTCTTCTTGTCGGAAGTGACGTTGAGGTGTATGATTACACGCTGTTTGTCTTGAAAGTGTAATACACTTTAATGACGTATTTTACACTGGTTTTACACGTGCTTGAGAGGTGGTGTAAAATTGGTGTAACGTTACACTAATAGGTTAGGTTGCTAAGATTTGAATTTGGATTAGTAGTCCTTATTCCGAATGGAACGCTGAATTATGAAAAAAGCAAGTGTTTATCGAAATGTCGATAACGAGATTATTATTGATAAGGAAGGTTATATAACATGCCATACAGACAGTATGTACACATTTTTAATTGTTTTATTTGAATGTGTGTTTTGTGCAATTATTATCCTATTTATTTATTTATTTATTTATTTACTTATTTATTTTATTTTATATTCTTAATTTCTAGGTGGGCTAACTTTTAACATACGTTCATCGGAAGTAGATCTTAATGGTCCACCTATTATATGTACTGTTGATGACGAAGAAGTTTTAATATCATTGAAGTCTACACCGGTAGACACATCTTCGGAAAGTATTGTAGCCGACATTTCAAATCAAGAAAACCAACAGCCAAATGTTGCTCGGCATAATTTGGAAATTTTTTCATGGAACGATGCAAATATGAAGCTGTTTCTATCACTATACAAGGAAATGAAAGGATTAGTTGGTTCCAGAAAGTTAAAAAATTTTAAAGAAATGTGGAAACACATAAGTAATGAAATGAAAAACTCAGGATATGACGTGACTGCAATACAAGTGGAGAATAAATGGAAAACATTGGAAAGGCAGTACAAGAAAGTTATTTGTAATAATAATCAGACAGGAAGAGGGCGGATCACTTGTAGTTACCAAACGTATGTATAACTAAAATTAAAGTAATAATAAATCATAATAAATTGATGCTTCATTTTTATTTGTGATTTTACAGAGAATTGACAGTAATTTTGGACAAACGTCACAAAATAGTACCACTTGCTGTGACGGGTCCTGAAGTAAGAGTTATGGTCCGGAATGTGTCAAATCCCGGGACTTCACTGAATAACAGATTTGTTTTCTAGATACTAATACTATAAATTGTGATTTTAGTATACTTATTATTGCATTTGAAAATTGTACATATTAATTTTTGAAAATTAATTTTATTTTTTAATATTAGTGCCCCAATTTTGATGCCAGTCTCAGCAACAACTGTATTGCCAACAAGTTCAAATATAAAGAGAGGACAAGAACTTGAAGATATATCCATAATGACTTCTCTTGGTGAAAGTAATACAGTAACCGAACCTGAAAATACTAACAACTTCATCGCTGTTGCCAAAAAAAGAAAAATCGCTGCAGGAACAACGGCAAAAGTTTTACAACAGTGCCAAGAAGAAATGAAAGAATATAGAAAGTCGTTTGAAAAACGCCAAGAAAAGCAAAATGATGTTCTAATGCAAGTCCTTGAAACTTACAAAGCGATAAAAGACAGACATGAAATACATATGACTGCGATACAGAATCTGAAAGAGAAAGCTCTTCAACAGACAATAAGAAGGAATGATTTAATGGATGAAAGAAATAACTTATTAAAAGAATTAGTATATTCTTTAAAAAAAATACAGAATAAGAATATTTATTAAATATATATTTATTATTAATTATTATTTACAAATCATAAATATGATATAATATATAATATAAGGTGTTTAAAAGATTAATATAAAAATACATGCAAGTATATAGATAAATTTATGTGAATTTATTTAAATAAAATATAGTATTATTGAGGTATTTATTGTACTTGAGCTGCGAGTTGTCTACATATTTCGTCCCTAAGTTCTCGTCCCTGTTGATTATCCTGTGGTATTACATTAGCATCTCCAGCTATATTGATCAGTGCATTTCCAGCTTCAGGATCTGGTTGATTTTCATCGAGAGGTGGTTCAAATAACTGTAGATCATTAGCATTGTGTAAAACACAACACACATGTATAACTTGAATCATTCGAACGATGTCTCGTAATTTGAAATGGTATAATTGACGAAATCGCTGTTTTAGATTACCAAATGCATTTTCAATAATAACTCGACATGAGCTCAATCTTTGGTTAAAATTGATTTGAGCTCGTGTCATGTGTCCGTTATCTCTATACGGAACAATCAACCGTTGTAAACAAGGATATGTACTATCTCCAAGCAAGTACCCATCTTCTGCAAATTATAAAATTAGTTCAGTAAACGATTGCACATTAATTTTCTTTACAATAACATCCGAATAAACATTTTGATATTCTTTAATATAAAAAAATTACATTACAAACCTCCAGTAAACTCATTTAAGTTATTGTACACAGGCGATTCCCTAAAAACTCTCGCATCATGAACCGATCCAGGGTAACCGATAAATACATTCATAAACTTTTTTTCGTGGTTCACTATGCCTTGTAACTGAATAGAAAAAAATTGCTTCCTATTTATGTACGAATCTTTATCTTCTATTAGTTTATCGATTCGAATGTGCGATCCATCTATGGCACCTGTAGTAAATTGTTAGTAATAAAATGATCGAAATCCTACATGTATGAAAACAGTATACTCTTGAAATATACCTATTACTCCAGGAAATCTTTTTTGCTGAAGAAAAAATTGCTTAGTGGCCTCTCTCTCTTGCAATGTAGGGAATCTGATGACATTTGGTGCAAGGAATATTAAAAAATTTGTGACTCGGGATATAACATTGTACAGTGCACTTATGGTAATCCCAAATCTATCTGCCACATCCCGATAGCCAGCGCTTTCATGTCCGACGTACCAAAGAAAAGTTATGATATGTTTCTCTGGAGAAATAGGCTCATATCCGGCATGAGCTGTGATAATATACATAGATAAATAAAATGATATTATATTCATAAATTATACGACTAAAATATATGTATTTATAAAATGATATTAATGTATGTGGAACTCATAATTATGGTATAATGAACCTTGTAATGCCAAAAAGGTTGGAGATGCTGCAAAACGATTGATCAACTCATTGGTCACTTCTCGTGATAAGCGAAAGTGCATTATGAAATCACTCTCAGCATATAAATGTACAACATTTTCAATATAATTAAGGATTTTTACACGATGTACTCTTTGAACAGCTCCTAATACTGGTTCTAATATTTGTCTGTCTTCATCTGGTAAAAAACAATGTTTTGAGGTTACGTTATACACTTTCAACAGAGGTTAAACAAATGTACCTTCATATAGTAAATAAAAAATTATTTAATATTCTTTCTTAGTATTATTTACAGCAAATAAAACAGGTGGAACAAAGACAATCTCATCATAATCCTCTTCATTGGATGATAAATCAGACTCAGACTGAGACTCCAAAATATAATCAAGAATTTCTGCATTTATTTCATCCATTTTGTGATGATCGTAACAATATAATCAATATTTTAAGAAGTCAAATTTTAAGTTTTTCACTTTCACCAACTCTAAACATAAACAACATGCATAAGTAGCTGTTGTACGTACACTTTGGCGTTCTTCTTAAAAAGCTTACACTTTACACGACATTTCTTCCCCTCCCAAAAAGTGTAGTGTAAAAGTGTATGGTGTACATACACTTTACACTTCTCGTGTATCAAGAAGAACAAACCTAATATAGACATGGCACTTCTGAGAGAACACAAGACACAGCTTTATTTATAGCCTGAGATACACAACAATAGGGGTAATACTTGCGAGCAACAAGACGCGCGCGGGAAAAGTAGAAAAGAACATGAACTGCGTAAAGCTTCGTAGATGGGAAAGGCGAAGTCTGCACCCATGCGCTCTGGTGATTGGTTGGATCAAACTTAAATGGAGATGTCGCCACGAATTGCCTGATTTGATTATCCAACACATTTAAACCTTACTTTTTCTAAAAATTAAATTTTTTATTTTAATTATTATTTTGTAATATTTGTTTTTTATTAAATGTATTTAATTTTTAATAAACTATTTTCCGAAAACACTGAATCTTTATTATATAATGTTTAAATTATTTCAAAATATTTTTTATAAAATATGTTCTTTACTAAAAGTAGATTTAATGAAATTATCTAATTATTTATTAAAAAATATTTTAAAAATAAAAATTTTCCATTTTTATATTTAAAGTTGATCATATTTTTACATTTAATAAAAATAACCTAGAATTATATTAAATAGAATGATTAAAAAAAAATACCTACACCAATTGCATTAAAAAGAATTTCGTTTTTGAAAGTTAATTTTAATAATTTTAATTTTAATATAAAATCAAGAGAGTAAGAGAGAGAGAGAGAGAGAGAGAGAGAGAGAGAGAAAGAGAGCGAATGGATGACAGACAATGATGACGACACAACGAAAACGTTAATTTGGACGTCAATAATAATAACGATGAAAAGAAAAAATTTTCTGTCTTTTGATGTTTTTCTGTGTGGTTAACATTTGTGTAAAAAATTATTCAAGATAAATTTGTAGTAATTAATATCTTGTTAATTATTGCATAAAATTCTAAAATGAAGAGAGTTTTTCTTTTTAGTTTAGTCCATTCTGTTCCTATTTATAAGATTTATCGTAACATATTAAATAACCTGTATAATAATTATATATACTTATTATTTAAAATTAAACATTATATCTTATATTTTTTTATAATTTATATTATATATCATTATATCTTTTTCAGAAAAACCTCCATTCTTTGAAATTAATAATGTTAAAGATATAAAAAAAATTGATGGTCATTTATCATTAACTGAAATTTTAAAAGGAAATCGTATTTTTTTAAAAAGAAAAAACGAAGATTCTGTAACTGAAAAGGTAAATTATAAAATAAATCAATAAAATCATTATATTCTAAAATTAGAATATATTGCTAACTTTTTTAAATATTTATTTTATGTAAATATATGGGAGCGTGGTCTAAATCGGACTAAACTTATTTGTATTTTTTTACTCTTCGTAAGGCGTAAATAAAGTTCGATCGTAGAATCGAAAGTGCTATTGGAAAGATCATCAAATTTCCATCATTTTTGCTTCAGAACATTTGATATATCTGTCACCTGTGTTGAACTATAATGGAAAATGTAAAAACGCTTTTTCCAGTCTGATTTTGAATCATTGGTTCCAAATCGGTACATTTCTTTGTTCGAATCGAAAACTCCTATTTTTATGGATTTTTTGATCGAATTTTAAAATAGTTTAATGTATTTTTCTTAGTTATTGAGTAAAAATGAGCAATTTGACAGTTAAAGGTAAAAATTTTTTCGGGAAAAGAAATTATTGAATGATTATATTATTAGAATAGAAATCAATAAAACTCAATTAATCTGAGTCTGATGACTCATGATATTTTACTGATTTAATTGCTTGGACCAGATCTGGTCATCCGATCACCAATACTACAACCAAGCCTATATAAGTGATTCACTATACTGTCTGATTTGGACACGGATCCTTTCGATCTTTGGAATAAATTTTAAAATAAACTACAAAAGTGATTACAAAATGCTTGATATTTTTTAATTGTAAACCCTTTAATTATCTTAAATCAATTACTTTGCAAATTTTTAACATCTTTTAAATAATAATTTAGAAGGGTTTTCTTTTTTAAAAAAATTTTCGCATGATGACTGAAAATATATATTGGCGTCTATTTTATGAATGTTATGACAAAGATTTGTCAAACAGCTATCACATGTTCGGTGTTTTATAAGGATTTAACATTATAAATAGTACGTGTAACATCCCAACTTGCCTTACCTGCCTATCAATATTTTTTCACCTGTAATAAACCATGAACACCCTCTAATATTAAAAGATACAGGCTACGTCCCTGTATGCGTTAGTAATAAGTGGGCTGCGTCCCTGCAACTCTAGTTTTACGTCACTCTTCGTGACACGCGTCTTATTAAAATAATCTCTCTTCTGTCTATAAAATAATCCTTCCTCTGTTTCATTAAAATAATCTCTTCATTAAAACAATCTCCTCTGTTCCACTAAAATAATCTTTCATCCGCCTCATTAGAATAATCTGCCTTCCATAACTCACAGATTATGCAACAGCCCGAAATTCTTATCCACCAACTCTTTTCATAATTCCTAACTACCATAAAAGATAAACTCTAGAAATACCTCTTCCTATATCTCTAATTAAGTCAAAGGCGACACCATTAATTATTTCCTTCTTCATGAATGTGCCTTTCTTCCTTTCGCAACGCGTTACGTAACCCCAGTGGTGGGGGCAGCGCTAGGTGTATAAGATGCGACCAAGCGGTTAAAAGTCAGAAGTGAAACGACATCGAAGTCACTCTCCGCGCGTTAGCCGTGCGTCAAATTCTTCTATCATTACTAATTCCTGACGTCGAGTAAAAGTAAGAATCATTATAATTCTTGAATATCCAAGTAGAAGTAAGAACCATTGTAATTCTATTGAATATATATATATCGTTAATTTTAAATTCAGTGTTCTAAATCAAACTACCTATCCCATAATAAAAACATATTAAATCATAATCGCGGCGTAATTAAAATCTACACTAAATCTATGACGCCCAGCATTCACCTAGAAGGAAGACTACTGTAATTCAGCATCTGGACATCACCTGCACCAGGTGTAAGATACAATTAATATCAAGGATATTAAAATAAGGGACTCCTCCCCTAATTTTCTGATAATTGTTAAGGTCTAACGCGACTCAGTTGAATTACACTGAATTACTGGTGACCTGTTAAATATAATATATCAAGAATCATAGCCGTAATTACGTTACCATTGGAATATTACACGTGTGTCCTCCATATTCCATTTCGCGTCGCAATCAGATAATAAGCCCAGCACCTTATCGTGCATGGTTAGATACCGCAACTTGCTGCATGACCTCTTATTTTTTCGACCTTACGGATAATAGTCAAGTCTGTCGAGGGTGCTACGAACATAGTTATTTATTGGATCGTCGGCCTCACGACTACGTGATTTTTCATTACGTACATATAGGTTTCGATGACCATTATTACTATTGCAGTAGATGCGGGAATAGATTACCGACAAATAAATTCCTTACGGCCTGCCCTGCTTGTGTAAATACTATAGATCAATCCGAACTGCATGTAATTTACTCCGGGATTACTCTCCATCACGAAGATATTCCTACGATCCTTCCAATCAACGAAATCCATCCAACGATAATCCACATGTATCCTCCCCAAATAACCAGGTGGTAACATCGTTAATCGTTCAGTTCCCTACCAAACGTGGCTTGACACGGCCATATGTTGTAATTCCTTATACTATTATACAATCATCGAGTTAATAACGCGTTAATTTGTAACGACTGCTATAGAGAGAAATCACCTTATGATCACGGGTTTTATGACGAAGTGATGCGACATTACATACATATTGGCCCTCCGCTACTCCTTGAAGAGTACCAGCTTTGCTACGTAATTATTCCACGCATCCGCACTATAAGAGCTTGCCTCATTTGTCCTACAGTGCTTCATGAATTCATAGAGTATCTAGATTATTCCGAAGACCGCCCTTACGATAATTACCAGCCTACTGTATTATGTTCAGCCATACGCGAACAGGAACTATAGAGCCCGAAAATTAAATCAAAAAGGCATCCACCGTAAGCTGCCCCTTTCCTTCTATTCAGAATAGATTTTTATTTTTGAAATTGAGACCGCGGTATCGCAACAAAATTGGTGACAGCGGTGGGATATCTTTATTCTCTCATAAAATAAATTCGGAAATTCATAAACCTCAATTCATAATGGACACGCGTAGTAAAAAACCACCCAGTCAAAACATAGAATCAGGAGCCGAAGCCTATGATACTAAATTAAAGGATTTGTCTTCTGAAGAGCACGAACTTCAATTAATAGAAAATGCTATAAAAGATCGGGAACATCGTATACGGCAGCACGAGGAAGTAGTCGAAATGAAAATAGAAGAAGTAGAAAGAATGCGACGACAGTTGGATATCGAGCGCGAAAAATTCAATAAAACAATGTCTAATGTAAGGAAGATGAATTATTACTCCGGGAAAGAGAATTCGAAAAACGATGGCGGGATTCAGACGTAACACGTTTAGAAGAATCCGTTCCTAGCGTACATCGCGAAGTAATAAATCACCCGCCGTCTAATTATTATTACACGGTAAGAAATGATTTCCCTATAGACGAAGCTCCGGGACCACGGGTGTCCTTTCGAGAAGCTACCGAATCTGTTCCATTTTTCGACGGGTATAATATCTCAGTAGCAAAATTCGCTAGAGCGTGTAGAAGGGCGCGAGAAATCGTGCCCCCGTCAGCAGAAGGTAATTTGACTAAACTATTGATAAGTAGATTAGAGGAACGCGCATATACGATTGTAGAAGACGAACCATGCAACACAATAACCGATTTTATTGATCTATTAACTGGAGCCTTCGGTACCGCTAAAATACTCGATCAGTATCGTGGCGAACTTAGCATCATATATCTTTAGGTCGAATGAATATATACTCGACTATATCAGCCGCGTGAAAGATCTACGTACTGCAATACTAGACACTGCAAGGAGAGACACAGGTGTATTAGACGCACGTTTTGTCGCGGAAATCGATGGATTAACTGCAAGATCATTTTACGAAAGCCTTCCTCTAGATTATAGCTTACAAATAAGCCCGGAAACGCGTCAGCATCACACAGACGTTTTTGCAGCAGCCAAGATAATTGCCAAACGCCAAGAATTAGATAAGCAAAGATCGGAAATACGACCACAAGAAATGCGACACATAACGCCTATGGGTAGACCATTAGCTTATTCCACTCCTCAACGCGCAAACAAATTCTCTTATCGCTCCAATAGGCCCCCTTATCCGACAGATCCTCCAGGAAGACCAGAATATAATCGATATGCACGGGAACGTGAACTCCCTCGTAATTCAAACCAAGATAATCGTTATCACTCCTCGCGATACGAGTCACGCTGAATCGCACCGGACGAAAACCTGCGTTCAACGCAATACGGGCCACCCGCTACGCCTAATCGGGACGGATACTCCCAGGACAGATATGATACACGCGCAGATAGAGTTACATGTCGCTATTGTAAAACGCCCGGTCATTCAATTGAGGATTGCAGGAAAAGACAGTTTAATAACTCCCAAAGAAACACGAGGGGAAACTTGCCGGGTCCGTCGGGACGTCACGAAGCAATTCCGATGGACGAGAAAAAGAATATGGCCGGTAAATTTAATAAACTCAGAGGGGAAGCCGAACAATCACGACGAAGAGCCAGAATCTCAGTCTTAAATCCGAAAGATTTCTCGCACGTGCCATCAATCACGGTAACTGCAGTCGGACTGCAACAATGAGTTTCATGATAGATACAAGGGCAGCACCTAATGTAATAAAGCAAAGGAACCTTAGCTCAGAGATAGTTATTAATCGCGACGACCCGCTACACCTTAGGGGAATAACCAGCGGTCACGTCGAGACCTTAGGATCAGTAAATGTTGAAATAATGGGCCACCCGGTAGCCCTACACGTGGTTCCAGATAACTTTCCGATCGCGCAGGAAGGAATCCTAGGATCTGACTTTTTGTGCGATGCATCCAGCATTAACCTTTCAGAAAGATACGTAGAATGGAAGGGAAACCGAATCCCCTTCACAGATCGCGAAACGATCGTAATTCCAGCCCGCTCACAAGGGACCTTTTACCTTAGGGTATTAAATACTGAAATCCATACAGGATATGTCCCGCGCCTTAGGGTTAACAATGACATATACCTGGGTGACGCTGTAGTCACAAATAGGAACGGCCGAGCTTACATACGCGTAATTAATTCTAGTGAGATAGACCAAGAACTTGTTGTTCCCCACGTAACATTACAAGAAATTAGCGAGATAGCCGATGATAAACCACGAAGCGAGAACTGAAACGCGAAAATCAATGTAATCCAGCCAATGGAGCCAAGCGAGCGATCGAACCAAGTAAAATCGTTACTTAGATTAGAACATCTAAATAAAGAGGAAATTGAGCATGTAACAAATCTTTTGAGTAAACATAGCAACCTCTTTCAAGTCCCCACGGAGGAACTCAGCTGCACGAACGCGATAACGCATAGAATTAACACTACAGACAATCAGCCGATACACGTCAGGCAATACCGCTTTCCGCCAGTGCATAGGGCCGAAATAAACCGTCAAATCGAGAGTATGTTAGACCAAAAAATCATAGCAGAATCCGAATCCCCATATAACTCACCACTATGGATAGTGCCCAAAAAAGCCGATTCTAAAGGTAACAAACGATGGCGGCTAGTAATAGATTTTCGCGCACTAAACGAGAAAACCTTAGGGAACGCGTATCCTTTACCGAACATTACGGATATTTTAGATCAATTGGGAAACGCGAAATATTTCAGCGTATTTGACCTGGCCTCCGGTTTCCATCAAATTCCTATGGCCGAAGAAGACGCGAAAAAGACCGCCTTTTCCACACCATATGGGCATTATGAGTACAAGCGTATACCTTTCGGATTAAAGAACGCACCAGCCACATTCCAAAGATTAATGGATAAAGTCCTTAGTGGTCTCCAGGGAATAGAAATATTTGTATACCTTGATGATATTGTAATATACGCGAGCAGCCTAAAGGAACATGCGCAGAAATTCAATAAATTAGCAGAACGATTGCGCAACGCGAATTTGAAATTACAACCCGACAAGTGCGAGTTCCTTAGGAATGAAGTCACCTACCTAGGACATGTTATTAGCGAAGCAGGAGTAAAACCGGATCCGAAAAAGATCGATGCAGTCAAACACTTCCCGCGTCCAAAGAATGCCAAGAGCATAAAGCAATTCCTCGGCTTAGCAGGCTACTATCGCCGTTTTATTAACAACTTTTCCCAAAAAGCTAAACCTCTTACTAGCCTATTGCAAAAAGATAAAATCTTTGATTGGCGCGAACCTCAAAAAGAAGCGTTTACGGATCTTCGCGATTGCTTGTGTAAAGAATCACTGCTTGTTCATCCTGATTTTACTAAACCATTTATTTTGACAACGGACGCGTCCGGTTATGCCGTCGGGCGAATATTGAGTCAGGGAGAAGTAGGCAAAGATAAACCGATCGCGTACGCATCTAGACTATTAAATAACGCGGAACAAAACTACGCAACTATTGAGAAAGAATCTTTAGCTATCGTCTATTGTACCAATCACTTTAGACCGTACCTATAATATATGGGAATAAATTCACGATCTTAACGGACTATAAACCATTAAAATGGTTGCACTCAGTAAAAGACCCGACCTCTCAACTAATTCGTTGGCGATTAAAACTTGCGGAATACGATTATAATGTCGTACACAAGGTAGGCAAAATGAATTGCAATGCAGATGCCCTATCCAGAAATCCAGTCCCATCTGGCGGATTTATCGCCAGAAACACTCAGTAGATATTGGCTTTATTTATTCTATGCTGATAGAAAGGCGCTAAGCATCCTGTTGCGTTGTGGAGCCAAGCTTGATAAGGGAGTATGCGGTTTCTTCTATTGTCATTTATATGATAAAATTAGATCGCGAAGGACACATGGATATTACGATGGAATTAGGAATGACGAACTTCGTTTATCAATATTGTTATGGATTCGTTAAAACTAAACGAAATGTTATTTATATGACCGGAATATTGTTCGTATTATCTTAGTACTTCTAGGCATGCAAGACAAATGCACGGGAATTTGACGGTATGAAATAGAGAACTGCAATCACCGCAGTGGTGTAAACGTTGTACCGAGATGTAAGTAATGTCGCGTAACGCAGTTCCGGATGTGTCGAGGCACAGAGGTATTACTCTCGAAACACCGTGGACAAACTGCGATATTTCTAATAAAAAGAATGTGGTCATGTAACAAGAAGTTGTATGTAATAATTCTACAAGAGGTGAAGCCTCTGATAAGATTTGACTAAGACGTGTTATCTTCGATGGGGGACACATGCGTGTGTTTATTAAGAATGCTTCTGATTAATAAATGGATGATCTGATCTGAGCGACTCCTGCCAGTGAGGTGTAATTCAACCTTACTGTGTTGAGACGTGCAATCACCAGTCATTGAATGATCAGCAAAATGAAAGTATGTGTTGGAGATTGCGTAATTGTAATGTTTAAATTATCGGGAAGTTACAATGTTATGTAATATAATATTTCTTGCTTACCTTTGGTGCCGACCGAATT